CCTCAAGGCTGCTGCCTTGGCCTCGAGTGAGGCTGTGGAGAAACCACCGAGCAGCCAAGCGGCTCAGCCCGTGGCACCTCCTGGAGATGGTCAGCTCTCCCCCAGGAACAAGTCTCCGGCCTCCACCGCCAGCTTCATCTTCGCCAAGAGCTCCAGGAAGCTGGTGATCGAGACGGCCTCGTCCCCCGAGGCGCAGGCTGACCTCAAGAGGAACTTGGTGGCCGAGCTGATGAATTTCTCGGGGCAGCGCTCGGCGGCGCCAGCTGCCACCGCGCAGGGCCCTGGCAAGGGACTTTTTTTTTGGCAAGGCACAAACCCAGAAAAAACCTGGCAAGATCCCCCCACCCGTAGCCAAGAAGCCTTCGCTCGGCCCAGGGCCAACTCCTTCCCCACTGAGTCCAAAGGCACCGGGGGCAGAGGCGCTGGGCTCGGCGGTGCCGGATGGGAATGCCAAGGCAGTGCCGGATGGGAATGCCAAGGCAGTGCCGGCGGATGAGAGCAGGACTAAGAGTGAGCCGGCAGGGACGGTGGCCGCGGGCACAGAGAGCAGGAACACCATGGACCCATCAGCTCAGAGCCTCCCTGCACAAGGTATGTGGATCTGCCCCACCAGGGGATGATGCTGCTGGAGGTGCTCAGCATCCTGAGCTCTGCATTCCCAAGCTGAGCTATGAGCTCTCAGCACATCACCTGGGCTGGGCTGGCACTGGGAGAGCTGTGGGAAACTGGGATTTGGAGTGGCTGACAGGCTCTTTCCTCCTGCTTTGCAGATGGAAGGGGAGAGACAGCCTGAAGGAGGATGACACTGCAGGACTGGTGCCCCCCACGGACAGGAATCCAAATCTCTCAGGGACCTGGGCAGGTCAACGGGACGAGTGTGGAACTGGCAACTAACTTAATACAGGAAGCAAACAGCCTTAGCCTCCACGGCCTTGATGATATTTATGCAAAAATGGTGTTGGTTTCACGAAAGTTTGGTGAAAAGGAAGCATACTTTTTTTTTTTTTTTTTTTAAACTGGACTCGAGGCCTGTGCTCAGAGCCAGCACCTCCTCCCTGCCAAGCTGCCACTTGGTTTGGAGCAGCCACGCCGAGAGGAGTTTGGGGGCTGAAGACACGAGCTGGAGCCACTCTGCTCCTGGCCAGACAGGCCCATGGGGAATCAAAGCACTTTGGACAAGGGAATGGGAAGGTTTTGGCCAAGACAGCACCCAGGAGGGGATGTGGGCAAGGAGCAGGATGGGATGGAGGTGCTGGTTGGGAGGGAGAAGGGTTTTAGCCCATGATGGGAAGGCTAGAGGGGCTCATGGCCAGTGAGGGCTGGGGGGGCTCAGGGCCAGCCCTGGCCACTTGCCACTGCCCAGCCAGGCCACCCTGGCCACGGGGTGAGGGGGAGCCTGGCTGCCCCTTTGAGCTGGTCTTCAGGCCCAGGGTCTGGGGTAGAGCCTCGATTCTGTTTCTGTAAACTCGGGTCACATTTTGATTTGATTGTATAAAAAACAAACCCAACAAACCAAACCAACAAACCCAACCAAACCAAACCAAAAGCAACTTGACCCTCTGCCGCCTAGTAGCTGCTCAGAGCTCTGTACCTGGCTGGTAAAAATGATGACCTAAGCTCACTGCCTCCTGTGCTTCCTGGCTGATGCAATGACCCTGCTATGTGTGGTGGGTCCCTTCCTGAGCTCTGGGGTGGGCACAGACCCCATCTGGCTGATTCCCAGCACCACTGCCCACTCACACTCACAGCAGGGCTGGCTGCCAGCTCAGCCACCTTCCCCAGACAGACAGGCACACCCTGTGCAATCAGCTTGATGTTTTATTGGGTTTAGACAGACAGATGGTTCCCGAGTCAGTGTTTAAGGCCCACGCCCCCCCCCAGAGCCCCCCACAGGCTTGGGACAGCCCTGGGCTCCTGGCCAAAGAGCAGCACCAGTGGCCACAGCCCTGGGCAGGCTGAGGGTGGAACAGGGGCACTCTGGCAGAGCAGGGGACGGGGCCTGCCAGGCTGTCCCCAGCTCTGGTAGCAGCAACACAGGTTTGAGCAAGCAGCTTTCCCTTCTGCCCTTGCTGCAGCACCCACACATGCCATCCCAGTCGGGACCAGTGGGCAGGGAGTCCAATCCATGGCACAACTGGAGTGAGCCAATGGCCCCAGCGCGGAGCTGAAAGCCACTGGCGTGAGTCATACAGATCCTTTAGGTTTGGTGCCACCTCCAGTCCCCAGCACTGGCATTGCTGCTGGCTGAGCAGGTCCAGGGGGTGTTGAGGCAGCAAATTCAGTCCCAGAGCCCCCAGGTCCTGCAGGGCTGAGCCCCCAGCTCAGGGCACTGGGGGGGGAGACTGGGAGGAGCCTGGTTCAGGTGGTGGACAGGGCCAGGCAGGAGGCACAAGCAGCAGCCCTGGCGCTGGTTAGCTGATGCTTCCACCCTTCAGGCTTTTACAGGAGACTGTCCCCAGCTTGGTGAGGAAGTTTCTCTCCTTCCACTGCGCGACACAATCCTCCGAGACACGGAAATCAGCCTGGGGAGCAGAGCAGGAAGGCAGGGTCAGGCCTGGGCTGCCAGCAGTGCCCAGCTCAGCCCAGGGGGACGTTTGTCTCCTCCACAGCTTTGCTGACAGTAGCAAACAAACACTGAGCAGCAAAAAGCCAAGTGGAGGTCACCCGAGAAATGGAGACAGTGGCATCTGCACAGCCCTAAGCACTGCCCTGCTAGATGCCTGGAACCTCAGCTAGTTCCAGCTGTTCTCAGCTCCTCACCTGCAGCTTCTCAAAGACCTTTTTCTTGGGTTTGAGCTCCTCATCAGGCTCCCCACCCTCGTAGCCCTCCACGTAGATGCGCTCCCCGGCACAGCTCCCAGCTGGTGGGTCCAGGGGCTCCACCTGACGCGGTTCCCCCACGCTAAGGAGAGATGTGCAGGAAGCAGAGTCACCCCAGGGTGGTCCCCAGCTGTCCCTCAGCACTCTGGGACAGGAGAGGAGGATCCACACTGTCTCCTTGGAGGGAGAGGACCTTGCTTCCTCCCTCCTTCCCTCACCTGGAGGCACACAGCACCATGCCCTGTGACTCCACACCCCTCATCTTCTGGGGCTTGAGGTTGCAGAGCAGCACCACCAGCCTGTCCTGCAGCTGCTCCTTGGGGACAAACTGCACCAGGCCACTGACCACGGTGCGTGGCTCAGCCTCGCCCACGTCGATCTTCTCCACGTACAGGCTGTCTGCATCTGGGTGCTGCCAGGCACACAAGGTGAGGAGCAGAGATGGGAATGGGGGGCAGAGAAGGAACAAGACCCACACACACTCCCTGAGTGCTCTCGTGGGATGGTTACTCTCCCTTCTCCATTGTGCCCTTACCTTTTCCACGCTGATCACTTTGCCCACGCGGATGTCCAGCCGGGATGGGATCACGTCCTCTGGCTCTGAGTTTTTGGTGCCCTTCTCTCCTGGCTCTGCAGAGGAAAGGGAATGGTCACACCACTCAGCGTAAAGCCAGGGAGGTGGACAAGCCCTGGAGAGCTCAGTCACCCCCAAATGCAGGCCCTGGAGGGAATTCCCTGCCGGTAATTCCCTGCTTGTTTCTATAGCAGAGAGCACAGTCTCTCTCTGCTATGGTGGACCCCCAAGCACACTGTCCTCTCCAGGGCAGGCAAACAGCCCTGGCATTGGCCATTCTCACCTTTCCCAACGTTCTCCAGGGCTGTTTCTCAGACTGCAGTTTTAGAACCTCTCTCTAACCTCAGTCCCTGGAGGGACTCTCTCCTACCCACTCCTGCCCCACTTCCCTGAGCTCCCAGCACCTCCTTACTGGCTTTGGACGGATTGGGATATGCAGCATTGGTCAGTTTCTTCAGCTCTGGGGTGTTGAACTTCTCTCTGATAGGGTCAAGCAGTTTGTTCAGGGCCACTTCCATAGAGTTCTTCAAGTCTCCAGGATGCACCACCTGGATGGTGACAAAGAAGAAGATTCCTGTCCATGCCAAGGGTCAGAACTGGACACCAAGCAGGGTGGGTGGGGGATAAACCCCAACCCTTGGCCTGATTCCCTCTGGACATCAGAGCCCTTCTTCTGGACACTTCTGCTTCCAGCCTCAGTTGGGAATACAACACCTCTTCCAAGTGCAGATTTCCATCTCCCAGTGCTGCTCAGAGCCTTCCCAGATTGCTCATGGGAGCCTCAGGGACAGGGAGAAGGTTCAGTCCCTCCCAGCACTCACCTGCTCAGCAAAGTCCTTTTCCAGGGCCTCATAGGCTGTGTAGGTTTTGTTTCCTCCCCATTTTTCTTCTCGCAGGATCACAAACTCTGTGACACACAGATTTGAAGGCTCAGGTTAACTCAAGGCTCAGATAAACCACCCACACCACTCTGCCCAAGAGCTGAGGGGACCATAGCAAGGGCTGGGGAAGTGTCCCCTCTTTCCCACAGGAAAAACACACCCAGGTGTGGTGAGTCCCTCACCTGACTTGAGGGGGAAGAGGACATGCTTGATGAAGGAGAGGACACCGTTGTTCTCCACATTCCCTGGCTCACAGAAAGCCTTCTTCAGCTTCTTCTTCACATCCTCCTTGCGGTCCAGAAGATCAATCTTTGAGTCCTGCAAGCAAGAGATTTCCTCAGCCCTTCACACAACCTCTTGCCCAAAAGAGAAAACTCATTCTGGAGTTGCTGCACCTTCTTAGAACCTCATGTGAATGGAAAGACAGGTCACCTTGCCTTCAGGTACAGCTTCTCCACCCCCAGCCATCAACCTGTCCCCCCACACCTCCCTGACCACAGCCAGATCAGGGACCAACCTCTTCTGATGAGCTCATTTTGGTGCCTGTCAGCCCAGGAACCATCGGGTTCATCAAATGGACACGCTTGGCATAGCCCAGGGAAGGAAGGTACTGGGAAAAGACAAGGAGGCAAATCAGGGACTCTGAAGAAGGAGCAGCACAGAGCACTGTGATGCCAACCAAAATCCCACACACTCTTCTCCCAATGGATTAGTGAGCGTCCAAACCCTCCCTCAGGCACCAGCATGGCACAAACACCCCCATTCCTGACCTTCTCTGCAAAGGTGAAGATCTTCCTCTGATCAACTCCTCCAAACTGTGCATCCACCTTGAGGTATTCCTCATCAAGTGCCTGTGGAGAGACACAGAGCCTTGAGGCTGGGCCCAAAACTCCCCAGTCCAGCTGTGTTCAGCTTTCAGAGGTCCTGCCCATCCCTCAGCCTCTCCAGAGGTACTCCCACCCTGGGATGGATGGGAACATTCCAGACTGTTTGCTGTACCAGCAGCTCTGTGCTCAGGTCATGCTGCCAGGTGTGACACTGGGGTGGAGAACAACGACCTTGACGCTCAGCCCCACACATCCCTGCAGCCCTGGGCTTTGCCAGCACCTCCCTGGACAACACCTGCCTCACCTGCAAACCTGGGTAGAGCAAACCACTCAGCAAGGGATGCTCCACCTGCTTCACCACCTCAGCTCCTGCCTTCTTGGCATCATGCTGTGTCACCACGGAGGAAAGACGATACACGTCCAGCGTGTACTCCCTGTGGGAAGGGACAGCACTGTGACCACCTGGGAAAGCTTTTACAGCTGCTGGTTCTGCCCACACTGTGAGGACACCAAGCCTGGAGGCATCTGTGTCACTCCCAGGACAGACAGCACCTAGGAACAAGCTCAGGAGCAGGGAAAGCTCAAGAGGAGTAGAGCCACAGGTCAGGCTCTCCCTTCCTGAGAGCACCAAGTGCTCCAGGACTCACTTGCTGAGCTGGTAGTCAGTGCCTCTGACAAACTTCAACTTCTCCAAGGGCACCCCAATGCTCTCCAGCATGGCTTTGATCACGTTCTCATAGTAACGTGTTCGCAGCTCCAGCAGCTCCCAGGGAGCTTTCATGTTGTCCAGGTAAGCGTGGAGGTCAGCAAAGAGGATGGTCACCTGTCAGAGAAGGACAGTCAGTGCCATCAGTCAGGAGAAATCGACCTGTTCTGCCAGTCAGCATGGTGACAATGCCCTGCAGGGTCTGGGGGTGCCCATACCTCACAGCCAGCCTTCAGGAAATCTGCAATCTTGGACATGGGCACAAAATAGGCCACATGGGGTTTGCCCGTGGTGGCAGTTCCCCAGTAGATCTTCAACTCTCTCTCCTTCAGGATGGCCATGAGCTTATCCTCCCCCAGCACCTCCTGTGGGGAGCAAAGACACAGACATCAGGCACAGTTGGGCCTGCCCAGGAACACACCAGGGGAGGAGGTGTGCAGGACAAATCCTGCTGGGCAGCTGTGCCTGGAGCCCTGGCTCTGCAGGCAGCATGTCCTGGGGCTGTTGTTGGCTCCAGGGGCTGTTCCCTGGGGCTAGATCTGACCCCACTCCCCCAACCT